CTCCTGCTGCAATTATTGTGCAGCTCCGAGTCGTCCTTTTGGAAGAGGACAAGTGGGTGAGTAAAAGTTAAAACATGAGACCACGCGGTGTGCAACTGGGTCACAAGGAGCACAAGCACAGGAGTGAGAGGCCAATATGCCCATGGAGATAATAATAATTCTTCCCCTTAATCCATTTCTGGGTCAGGGGGGGTGGCCATCAGAGCTGCACCCAGTACACAGAGCACCAGCCCCTCACTGATCCTCCTGCAGGTGGTGAGTCCACAGGAGCTGAGATCTTTCAGTGGGGCTTCAGGCAAAGTGGGGTTAAGTGTCTTGCTCAAGGACACAACAACAGCAGACATCAGTGGGAGTCTTGAAGTAGGTCTCATGGTGGGCTCGAACCCACGACCTTTAGGCTCTAAAGGCCAATACTCTACCAACTGAGCCACTGTCGCCCATATTTAGCATCGTATGTTTCAGATTGTACCAACACATAAGTTAAATCTATGAATGAACTCGGTATGTATTCTGAGGACTGCTTCCCTCTTTACAGGTATCTGATTGTAATGTTCAAGTATTTAATTTATACAATCACGACCCAGTTCTCTGATGAGAAGAATAGAACAAGAAAAAAATCAACATCAAAAATCAAAATGTTACTCCAGTGTATGTACCCTAGCTTTACATATGGAAAAGTGTATTGGAACCAAAATATATCCTAAATGGCAAAAATATACAGTACAGACCAAAGGTTTGGGCACATTTTCTCATTCAAAGAATTTGTTACTTTCATGATTATGTAAATGGTAGACTGACACTGAGGGCATCAAACCTATGAATGAACTCATGTGAATTATGTACGCACTAACAAAGTATGAACCAAGTGTAAATATGTGTTATATTCTGGTTCTTCAAAGTAGCTCCTTTTGCTCTGATACTGCTTCACTCTTGGCATTCTCTGGATGAGCTTCAACAGGACCTGAAATGGTCTCCAACAGTCTGGAAGGAGTTCCCATGATGCTTAGCACTTGTTGGCCCCTTCACTCTGTGGTCCAGCCCCAAAACCATCTGGACTGGGTTCAGGTCCAAAACCATCTGGACTGGGTTCAGGTCCAAAACCAGCTGGACTGGGTTCAGGTCCAAAACCAGCTGGACTGGGTTCAGGTCCGGTCTACTTCCTTATTGGTCAAACAGCCCTTTCACAGCCTGGTGCGGGTCTACAGCCAATAGTCATGTAAACAAATATCTGCTCTAAGATCATTGGCCAGCCAATCAGATCCCTTCCTGCCCTGTGTGATCAGCCATGAGAGTGGCCTATAGGATTCTGAGAGACCCTGCCCATGTTCTCTTCCCTGTGTTTGAGTGGCTGCCTTCAGGGAGGAGGCTGCGCTCGGTGGATGCAGGACGCAGAGGAGGAAATCCACTTTTGTTCCAACAGTGACTCAGCTGAACTCAGACCCATCTTTCTCCAGCGCAGGGTTAAAACGCTCCTGACATTAACTTATACAGGATGTGTGTGTAAATATATTTATGTGTTTTTTATTGAGATTTTCAGCATGTAACTTGCAACTCTCAGTGCTTTATAATTGCCCCTCGGGGATAAATAAAGTGATTGATTGATTGAAGAAAGGACACTCATTGAATTAGATTGTGTCCACACTTTTGGTCTGTACTGTATACCATTACGTTATTATGGACTTGGAAAAATGATTAAAGTAAATGCAATCTCCTGGAATGAATATAACTGCAAAATATAGTATAATGTTTTTCAGAATGACATATGCATTCCATTTACTTCTGCTGCCTTCTGTAGACTTGCATCGTTTCCCACAGTCGGCCGTGATCATTTCAGTGTTTTAAATCCCACACACAGCCACAGTCACGTTGATTGGAATGAAGTTACGGGTCGAGGTAAACTGTTAATTCTGTCAACCCAAAGTAAATTTTCCTTCGCCGGCTGCCAAGAGTATCCGCCTGCTCCATTGTCCTTCACTGAACGGTTTTGGTCTAATTCGGGGGAAGCTTAATGCAGATCCAACAGTCAAGTCCAATTAGGTCACAGCCACTCCTCCAGCAAGATCTGTCAAAAAGTTTTAAAACGAAACAAAGACACATCGGGAGGAAAATACACCGGGAAATAATGACACCAAGTTAGGAAGAATAGACCAAAGTCAGTTTTCGGGGCAATCCTCTTGAAAAGGACACAGCGTACTTTTTTGCCTTCAGAGTGACGTGAGGTTTCCAGGTGAGCCGTGGGCAGAGGCCAAAGCATAATCACAATCTCATCTTCTCGTTCTAAGAAGTGTACATTAAAACTTTCACATGTTTGGAATGTTCTTGGTTTCTTTTGCACATTATGTTCTACCTCAGAGGTGTCCAAACTTTTTAGTAAAAGGGCCACTGTAGTTAAAGAGGCTTGTTCAAGGGCGACAACCCAGATTGTAAAACTGTTTTGACACTTTGGGCTAGCCAGGCAAAGGGCCAAATAAAACTACACATTCCCTTCTTTGGTGTAACATCAGCTCAGTGTCATGTAGCCACGGCCTGGACTCGTGAGGGTTGTTTCCAGAAGCCGCCGGCGTCTCTGGACAGGTCCGGCGTCTCTGGACAGGTCTGGCGTCTCTGGACAGGTCTGGCGTCTCTGGACAGGTCCGGCGTCTCTGGACAGGTCCGGCGTCTCTGGACAGGTCTGGCGTCTCTGGACAGGTCCGCCGTCTCTGGACAGGTCCGGCGTCTCTGGACAGGTCTGGCGTCTCTGGACAGGTCCGGCGTCTCTGGACAGGTCCGGCGTCTCTGGACAGGTCTGGCGTCTCTGGACAGGTCCGGCGTCTCTGGACAGGTCCGGCGTCTCTGGACAGGTCCGGCGTCTCTGGACAGGTCTGGCGTCTCTGGACAGGTCTGGCGTCTCTGGACAGGTCTGGCGTCTCTGGACAGGTCCGGCGTCTCTGGACAGGTCTGGCGTCTCTGGACAGGTCTGGCGTCTCTGGACAGGTCCGGCGTCTCTGGACAGGTCCGGCGTCTCTGGACAGGTCCGGCGTCTCTGGACAGGTCTGGCGTCTCTGGACAGGTCCGGCGTCTCTGGACAGGTCCGGCGTCTCTGGACAGGTCCGGCGTCTCTGGACAGGTCCGGCGTCTCTGGACAGGTCTGGCGTCTCTGGACAGGTCCGGCGTCTCTGGACAGGTCCGGCGTCTCTGGACAGGTCTGGCGTCTCTGGACAGGTCTGGCGTCTCTGGACAGGTCCGGCGTCTCTGGACAGGTCTGGCGTCTCTGGACAGGTCCGCCGTCTCTGGACAGGTCCGGCGTCTCTGGACAGGTCCGGCGTCTCTGGACAGGTCTGGCGTCTCTGGACAGGTCCACCGTCTCTGGACAGGTCCGGCGTCTCTGGACAGGTCCGGCGTCTCTGGACAGGTCCGGCGTCTCTGGACAGGTCCGGCGTCTCTGGACAGGTCCGGCGTCTCTGGACAGGTCTGGCGTCTCTGGACAGGTCCGGCGTCTCTGGACAGGTCTGGCGTCTCTGGACAGGTCCGGCGTCTCTGGACAGGTCCGGCGTCTCTGGACAGGTCTGGCGTCTCTGGACAGGTCTGGCGTCTCTGGACAGGTCCGGCGTCTCTGGACAGGTCTGGCGTCTCTGGACAGGTCTGGCGTCTCTGGACAGGTCTGGCGTCTCTGGACAGGTCCGCCGTCTCTGGACAGGTCCGGCGTCTCTGGACAGGTTTGGCGTCTCTGGACAGGTCTGGCGTCTCTGGACAGGTCTGGCGTCTCTGGACAGGTCCGCCGTCTCTGGACAGGTCCGCCGTCTCTGGACAGGTCCGGCGTCTCTGGACAGGTCCGGCGTCTCTGGACAGGTCCGGCGTCTCTGGACAGGTCCGGCGTCTCTGGACCGGTCCTCAGGGATCGACTGCAGCGTGTCGTCTTATCGTTGCAGAGACTTCAGTTATTATGGCTTTGTTCATGTTTAACAAGGCCCAGACCAGAGAGTCCATTAATATACACAAACCTTGCATACTTTTGGTCCAGTTTTGGTCAGACCTCTGAAGCTAAGCAGGACAGGGCCTGGTTAGTACTGTGATGGAGACCTTTGGGAACACCAGGTGCCACAGTGAGACAGCTGTAAAGTGCCAAACTGTCACTATGTCCGTAAAAGTACTCTATAAAACTGATGCATCATTATTATAATTATTATTTCTCAAAACTATTTGGTTTCATCACTCGCATCCACAGGCATGTAAGGTTTGCACATCCCTGCTCCAGTGGGACAAAGGATGACGCCAACTTCCTTATTGCAATAAGTTATTTTGCCCTACGGGGCTGTAATGTAATCTTTCTCCTTTTCAGCTTTTCACATGAGAATAAATCAGTAGAATGTCCATAGGCCTGGCACACATCTCCATAATGATATGCAGTGTTTAATACCGTCCATAAACTGCTGCTTCAGCCCTCCGCACCGGACTTTTGACGCTTACATATATTTCACAGGAACTACTTTATCCACTAGCAGCGCGGCTAATGCGTATCCACCAGCTAAACACTATAAGAAATGATGAATAACTGAACAGAGCTGCCCGCAAATTTCACTTTATTTCACAATCAAGTTTGAATAATTAATTTACAGTGCGCGCAAAGTTGGCTTCTTCTAATACAGTTCATAAATCACGCCGACCGAGTTGTTTGATCAGCGTATCTGGGAACCCACGTTAAATTGTGATAAATCAAAATGGCCGTATAGCGTTCACTCGAAGCACTATTGGCAAAACTGAACGGAAAATATGTCGACGAGGTTTGAAAAAAGTAAGTTGGAGTTCAGTTTGATTTTCTAATTTTCTCCGGAGCTTAAGGGGGTCCGGCTGAATCCCATTCCCACAAAATGAAAGAGTAAATCTGTCCAAATGCTGCCGTTTACTGGATGTAGGAGTCGGAGCGCTCCGGTTCACGAGCACATTTATTATCGCCGCACAATAAAGACAATTACAAGACTGAACTTGAGGGGACATCATTACTTTGTACTTTTGTGGATTGGGATTTACTGCTCTTGGCTTCGTGGCATTCGACTGAAAAAAAGTAATATGTTTAAAAATCAGGATTCTCTGCAATATCAATGATTAAAATGGATTTATTTCAGGCTAATATAAATGTCACACATTCACTTGGTCCTTTCATCACAGCTGCAACAACAGAATCAATTCATCACAACCGACGAATTATTGATATTATTGTCAAGTAATTTAGTAAATCCATTGTTTATGTTTTTACTTTCTATACACTGCAAAAATATGAGGTAATAATCGCTTGAATCATAGTTTTTGTCTAAATATGAGCACATTCTGACTGTTAAAACAAGATTCTCCAATGGGACAAACACATTTAGTCTTCTTTCAAGAACTATTTTCTCATTCCAAGGGAGATTTCTCTGATCTTTTTAAATCATTGTTTTTTTGCTTTGTCCCATCGGCAAATATTGTTTAAAGGCACAGTCAGAATGTGCTCAAATTAAATTCAAAATATTCCCCATTTTTTGCAACTTTTGCCATATTTTTCATCCCTTTCCCCTCAGACTTAAACGTGCTGAGGTGTTATGACTTCATAGTGACTGCAGAATGAAATAAAAATGTTCAAAAGTGTTTTAAAAACCGTGAGTAATGAGTCATCTCTCAAAAGGCTTTCTCCACATTCTCCGATCTCCCACGATCCAAACAACTGATCAATTTAAATCATTAATACATCCCTACAATACATTATTTACAATGTGAAATGCATTGAGTTTGAGGGTCTGGGTTTTCCTTCAGAGATGAGATGGGGAGCTCAGTCGTCTGGGAGGACCTCGGGAGAAGACCCCAAGAAGACTTCACAGTGCTTAATCTCACCTACGACTTTGAAGCTGTTGTTGGACAATAAACTGGATTTGTTGGCTGTAAATAATCTTTCTCTGGAATAGATCAAAATGTGTGAAGAAATGTCAAATTTGTCTTGTAATTCTATGTAAATATTTGTATTATTACATGCTAATTATTAGTATTTACTTCTGGTACTTGTTTTAGTACTTTGGGCAACTCGACTTGGAACATCTCAAGATTCCCATTAATAAACTGAAGAGTGTGTGAGAGTGTTTTTGTGTATGTGTTGGTGAAGACAGGGAATCTCTGCTCAGACTGCTGCCATTACATCCCGGCAACGATTACAGCTGGAAAAAATGAATGGATTGATCAATACTGATATTATGTGTAAGAGGATTAAGTTATACCCCGACTTCAAGCCAAACATCTCACACAGAAGTCACGACAAGCTAGAATGAAAGTACAAATCCAACGAGCTCATCTCTTTCTGTTAGTTTTGCTGCTACAGTCTTGGCGGGAGGATGAATGGCCAGGTTCATCAAGATAAAAAAACAATATTCTTCCTTCTATAGAGTGTATAAATGGCTTCTATACTGCTACTACAGTAAGTGAAGGTGGAAATAGTGAGTTGCCCCAGTACTTATCTGTGTTGAAGCAACCTTAAGAGTCTAAACCCGGCAGCACCCTGCAGCTGAAAAAAGACAGTTTGATTTCCCCTGATAGACGGCTCTTCATCCAAAAAAGGATAAAACGATGCAAAACTCCTGCCTTTGCTCCCAAACGTCTCCTAAAAGAAAAGTTTAGTAAAGTTTTTTTCAAAGCCGTTTTAAAGAGTGTCATGAAACGGGGCGGGCGTCTCTCAGGTGGAATCCCCCCAGTGCCCACCCACTCTCACTAAAGCACGTTAGAACTGTGGATTCAAATGCCTTAAATATAGCTTCAATAATGGGCAGACGATCAATACAATTACATTTCCAAAGCCAAACATCACAGCAGCCGCCGCGGTGCATGCTGGGATTGACAAAATGGAGCATATTACCGTCAGAAAGTGGAATATTGCAAATGAGAAACGGGAGAAAAATATGGCTTTAGCAATGATGATGGATGAAGAGAGAGCATTAGTGAAGTTTTAAACTGAATCCTGGTCTTACCACACCATGGTACTCATTTCATTTGTACAAAGGTCTGGATCTGCTCCATTGACTCCGTGAACAGGTGGGAGGGGCTAACTCCTTTTGCAGATTGAAACCATTGGATCTGAGTTTACCGTGACGTATGTAATGAGCCCGAGTGAGTGAGGCATTTAGCATTTAGCCTAGCTTTAGCATTTAGCCTAGCTTTAGCCATCTCCTTTGCCACTAATCGAGCCCGTGGGGAGTAGAGCCTCAACATTTTTGACGCAATGACATTTGCTAAACATTCCTCCAGGGCCCTAATCTGTCAAAGGCATTCATAAAACATGCTCTTTTCCAATGTTCCTTTCAATTATGACAGTATTTCAGAGATATTTCAATTTCAAAATATGTTTTACAGCCCCTAAATCTTGTTATTGTTTTCACTTCACTGTCAGTCATCCGGGTTGCCAGAACTCACCGTGTCAAGCTAATCCAACTAAATCTCACTGGTAAAGTACCATGTGGCGCAGAACTAAAAAAGGTCTCGTTATGATTCTCAAATCATTAACAACAAAACAAGGAATAAAACCAGGATTTCTATCTTTGTGAAGAAGGTGTTGGTTATAGATTTGTTGTTGACAAAACTCTTGTCTATTCAGCTGTTATGGTCCCAGCTGGATTCGTCTGCATTTGCAGTAAAACCACAGTGGAAAAACTGTGCAAAACTCCCCCAGTGTCCAGCAGACAGAGAAAACGGCACACACAAGAGACCCTCTTGCTGTGAATATATGAAAAAGTATTTATAGCTAAACAATGTATATCAGCCCCGATGCTAATGCAGAGATTGGGACTGTGGACCACGGACTGTGCTTTTCCTGTTTTGTTTTTCAGTTAAAACCATCGTTCTCTCATTCTTTCCTTCAGCTCAAAGGCCCCGCAGGTTTCCCAGTGTTCATCTCTGTGTGAATAAATGAGAGATCAAACTACAGAAAACAGGTGCATAATCAGGTGTCAGAGCTGGAGCAGTCCCTCGTCGGCTCGATCACCTTCAGAGAACCCCCCGCTGTGCCGCTAAGTACACCCCGTCTCTTTGAAATGATAACTTCAGGTTTCTCAGACTCATTCCACTTTCAAACGCCGCTGCTGCTGTGTCTTTAGACCGCCTTAACAAACGCACTGGGAGTTATGGGAAAGCAGCGTGATTAGATTATTATCATGCGAGCCGTGCAAAGTCAAAATATGAGTTCAGCAGCGATGGCAGCTTTAATTATTAGCATGTATTCAAAGCTTTAATTATTAGCATGTATTCAAAGCTTTAATTATTAGCATGTATTCAAAGCTTTAATTATTAGCATGTATTCAAAGCTTTAATTATTAGCATGTATTCAAAGCTTTAATTATTAGCATGTATTCAAAGCTTTAATTATTAGCATGTATTCAAAGCTTTAATTATTAGCATGTATTCAAAGCGATACAGACACACACTGCGTCAGCTCCGTAGTTAGTCCCGGCCCTTTAAAGCACTGACCTTTTCACCCATAAATAATCCATGTTTTAGTTCCCACACATTGAGTTTTCTTTAAGTAGTAAGTAAGTAAGTAAGTAAGTTTTTATTTATATACCGCCTTTTCACTGCAGATCTGAGTCTCAAAGCGGTTTACAATTGTTAATGTTGGGCATTTGTCTCTCACTCCACACAGAGATGGGAGCGGGGCCAGTACAGGAGGCACATGCCAGAACTATTGGACATATTTTTAGTGGTAGGGGAAACCGGAGTACCCGGAGGAAACCTACGCAGACACGGGGAGAACATGCAAACTCCACTCAGAAAGGCCCTGGTCCGACCGGGATTCGAACCCAGGACCTTCTTGCTGAGAGGCGAGAGTGCTATCCACTCAGCCACCGTGCCGCCCAAGTAAAATCAAGAGTCCCGTGGGTCACTACTCAATTGATTTTTAAGCAATGGTGGTTCTCTCTTTTTCACATTTCTGTCTGTGATATAACTTCTTCCCACTCCTTTTGTATGAACGTACGTTTCTATCATGTACGATATTAAATTACTGTAAACTCTGTAATTGATTCCTGTTTATTACTTGACATAAACACAATCCAATCCTTTAGGGAATCAAAGCTGGACTAAAGCTAAAGGAGCTAAACCGTGTGCACAGATGAGAAGGACGTCGTGGCAAACATTATGGTTCATAATGACATTCATATTGATCTCCATTCATTTAAATATTGGGACAGAATAAAGTTTGTGGATGGGAAAAGATCCAAGAGACAAACGTGAATCACAAATGGCTCCCGGGATTATATAATAATCTAGAACAGCCATTTCCAAAATCAGTAATAATCTGACTAAAATGTGACTGGTCTGCGCGGCCCCTGAAATAATAACCAAGAAGATAACATTAAAAATAGACATAACCTCTGCTACAATGTCAATGACGCACCCTATTTTGTAATCCAAATATGATTACAATGATTGTTCAAGTCAAATAATGAACACAAATATTTTAATTTTACCAACAAAATAATAATTAAACATTCATTCATTCATTTTCAAGCCCTTTATTGTCCATTTCTGGGTCAGGGGGGTGGCAATGAGAGCTGCCACCCATTGCTCATAGCACCAGTCCCTCTGATCCTCTGCAGGGGGTGAGTCCACAGGAAGATGGCTGCTCTGTCTCGTTAATTAAACATACAATAATTATATAATACTTTTTTTTTAATGACTTCTCGCAGCCCCCCTGCAACACCCCGGGCCGCGGACCCCACTTTGGAGACACTGATATAGAAAATATACATACTATCCCCTCGTTTCTATTCCACGGCGCAAGAAGTAGAGACTTGTGGCATCGGCCGTAGAGACAAATGCTAATGTCAGAAATGAGAACTAGTTGGTACTATTATAGTGGTTCAAATCCTGGTCGGGGCCTTTCTGAGTGGAACTTAAACATGTAATGAGTGAGTGGATGGTGTTGGGGGCTTCGATGCGTCCGGGCTGTCGCTTCTGTCGTCACCGGAGAGAATGGAACACTATCTGAACTCTGACCTTCGTAAAGCGCTTTGGGTGACATTGGTCTGTCATAATGGAT